CAACAGCCTGACGCCCCTGGAGGGTGACGGGCCCTTCACAGTGGCGCAGGGTGGGTATCTGGTGGGGAACACACAGTGGTGCCTCATGCAGAGGCCTGAGGTGAGCTCTGAAGGCGAGCTCTGTGATGTGGGAGTCTTTTGTTTGCTCCAGCTCTTCAGTGTTCAGGCTAACACAGGGGTAAGAGCACGTTCTACCTGATGGTGGTGGTGGGCAACGCGCTCAAGACCAGATGGAAGCCCAGCAGTAGCGGCGCGGGCAGCGTCCGCGGAGCCGCCTGTCCCAAAGCGGGCGCCGAATCCCGTCTGGCAGCAAGTGGTGCGTGGGGGCAGGTTTCATTGTTTAAAACAAACAAAACAACAACAGCAAAACTGCCATCCTTTAGTTTCCTTCCAAACATTTTTCACGCTGAGTTCTAGTCAAGTACACTGAAATGCTGAATCTGTTGTATTTTGTTTCTTTCCTAACCAACAGTGTCATTACTTCAACTAACAGAAGCTTTTTTTTTTTTTTTTTTTTTGTGAAACAGAACAGAGATCGTTTCAGAGAGATTTGAATTTAAAAAGCTGCTTAAAATAACTTCTGCTTATACCAGATAAGGGCATAAATAAATACACTTGGTGTGCTTAGGTGACATTTGGTTTCCAAGTGCAATATGTAACAGCACCAAAGGAGAAATTTTAATTGAACATTCATATAGCTTTTATTACACTGGTTAAATTTGTCAGGTTTTACTTCCTCCACCACCAAAAATATTAAAAGGAGAGAGGCAATAGGAAGAAGGCAAGCCCTGTGCTGTGGATGGGGACATGGGGCAGTCCTGGCTTTCCAGGAGAGGTACCGTGGCCACCGGGCACGTGCGGGTTGCAGCTGAGATAACTTGGGTCCATCAGTGCCAGAATCAGCCAAGGATGTTTTCCTGTGGCATTGCCAAACATTTGGCAGTATTTGTGTATTTTCTACAATATCACAAGTTTTTGTGAAATTCCAGCCCACTATTACCTTGTTCAATGGAGAGCTGGTTGTATCACCTATATGCTAGTTCCTAACAGCAGCAGACAGATACAGGTAAGAAGCTGTCAGACTACAGAGAACTTGTGCAGTGTGGGATGGGCAATGCAGTGACCCACAGAAATCTGATTCGCAAAAGAAAAAGAAAGAAAGAAAAAAAAATGTGCGGGCTCCTCTGCACAGCGCTGCTGCAGGGAGCTCCCCAGCAGTTTCCCAGAGGATCAAATTTGCGGATTTGGCTTCTTCATCCTTCTACAGTGCCAAAGTTTTTTTCCAGTTCATTCCTTGAGGCTTAATCTAATTCTTACAGAAATCCTTCATTAACTTTAGAGTTGGATCTTACTGGGGAAGACAACAAATTTGGTTAAATTTTGCCCAGAGAGGTTGTGGAGTCTCCTTCTCTGGAGATCTTCCAAACCCGCCTGGATGCCACCCTGTGCCACGTGCTCTGGGTGTCGCTGCTGGAGCAGGGGCTTGGACTAGGTGATCTCTAGAGGTCCCTTCCATTCTCAATCATTCTGTGATTCTGTAAATACAAATACTTAAGTATTCCAATAAGTGTATATAAAATGTCTCAAAGCTTAATGAACATTTGCATTCACTTGTTGACAGGGCAATAAAAATGACAAGGTGAAAGGACTCCTGTGTTAACCATTCCAGCTATTACTTCTCATTTCTACTAAAGTGTCACACCACACATCAACCTTAATGTATTTTCAGTGAACTCTGTTGTAATTTTTGTCTAAAAATACTCTGAAACGAGCCATAGTGAAAAAAGATCATATAATTCAAGAGAAAATACAGAAAATTTGGAAGTGATTTGAGGCATAAAGAAAAACATGAAATGGAAACGAACATCCCAAACAGCTATATTACAAATACCCCAAAACCTATTTACAAATCTAAAGTCGGTACACCCTGTAAAAATCCCCCCACAACAAGGTACTTAAGAAGAACCTCAACCCAGTTACATTGTCTGGTGCTGGTACCACGTTAATTAACTGTTTGCAAAATAAAATGAAAACTAATAAAGCTGAAGAAATTATACCTAAGAAAAGCTGTAGCTGAAGGTCAGACAACAACAATCACAAGACATACAAAGACATACAAAAATAATGAATTGCAAGTATGTTACTCTGGTAGTGCAAAACGTAAGACGAATGGCTTCTTCCCCTGTACTTATTCAGAGAAAAACACTACTGTGTATTTGTAAGTTGAATTCCTTTTGAGCACTTACGTCTGCAGGACTTAGCGCATTCGGGTGTTTCAGCAAGGCTGATCCTAGAAGTGTCAATGAAACCAAGCGAAAATAAAACTACTGCTGCCGTATAAATTTTACCGAACTTTGTAACCATGTTTAGAATATGCAGTAGAGAAAATCTCCAAAAAGAAGAAGTTCTGACCACAAGTTAGCTCTCAGTCTGCACGACTCATTCTCCGGCAGGTCGCAGCTCAGGAAGGGCAACGCGCGGGAAGGGCAGCGCGCGCAGCGCTCCGGCTCCCTCGGGGTTTGTCCTCCCTGCACGTGGGGCAGAGCGGGGGGCAGGTCCCCTCCGAGGGGCTGCGTGGGGCCCCGCTCCCTGCAGACGGACACGGCGGTGCCCTGATTCCCGCCGCCTTCCTGGGAATCCTCCTCCTACAGCCCAGGGTTTGGTTTCACCTGGAACATGAAGGATGGGCTCTGTCCAGGGAAAACGCCTCACAGTTTGTACGGTTGTAAATGCATCCCTTAGTTTAAAATTGCATTTTCACTATGTCTTTGCTGTCAAAGAAAATCCAAACCTAACCAAACCAACATTGAAGTAGGAATATTTTATGCTTAAACCATTTGAAATTCAGAAAAAAATGAATTCTGTAATTGAGAAAGCACGAAAAAAACTTCAAACACATGATCAGTTTTGCCAATAACTTTTTTTGCTACATGTTTAGTTCTCTCTTCATTCAACAAACTGCTAAATAAAGACCACCCAGCCTATCCTAGAGAAGATCCAATGCTGGAAACCATGTAATAACCAGAGGTGAAGGATGAGCAGCGCCGCGTCTGCTTTGTCCCTGCACTGCAGCACGGCTGTTCCGCACCGTCCAGGACAGGCCCCACGCGTCCTGCTCCTCTCGTTGTACAAAATACACAGAGGATAGCCATAAAAATGCAGCAGCAGCAGGTACAGAACAAGCTTTGCCCATTAGAATTAGTGGGAAGTGCTAGAGCTGATGTTCACAGCTTTTTCAAAATGAGAAAGAACTGACGTCTTCCTGCCAAACGTCACAGTTCTTCTGCATTACGCTGTTGCTGTAAAGAAACTTTGGGCTGTAAAGTTTGTCTTCAGGCTCCAACTGAAACAGTGGAGCTGCTCCCTGCTCCAAGGGGAGCGGGAAGGCAAAGCCTAAGGGTGGTGGTTCCCCGCTACCAAAAGTCTGTAATACACAGCAGTGAGGAGAGCTAGGGGCTGCTCCTTGTAAACCCACTGAAAGGGCCCTTCTGCAGGCAGTGGGAAGAGGGCAAAAGCTGCACAAGCTGCTCTGCCTTCTGCAGCCTCCTCAGTCAATTGCACATTTTATTTTCAGGCGTTATGGATGGCTGTAATGGCAGATTCTCTAATGTAATTGTATAAAAAGTTTAAATGAAATAGAAAGGTCCTTGAAGGCAAAGTATTGAAGAACTCCTAACATCTTTTCAGGTATTAAAAAATAAAATAAATTATATTTTAGACCAATATCACTACTGCCTAATATTTTAATTAAAATACTGATGAAAACAGGAAAAAAGTAAACTCTAGATCTTTTAGATTGCACACATGTACACAAAAAAAGTTGCCACAAGTGTACTGACTTAGCAGCTTAGCTGTTTAATTCCTGATTTTTGGTATTTCAGCAAACAGGCTGGAAAGCTATGCAGCTTCTCCGACAAAAAGGAACATGGGATGCCTGGACTCGCTCCCAACCTTCTGTAACTGAACAGGATCTGAGGAGCTGAGGAATACTCAAGATTCAATCCTTTTCTAGGGAATAACACGTTCTTTCAGTACAGTTGTTCGCTCTTAGTTTAAATAGATAATAGATAACTTGTGGCTCCAGTTCCATGCTCAGCATGGAACAGGACTGAGCTCTCAGGCAAAGACTTCAGATAAATGTGGAAGCTAGGTAACATTTGCTTTTCCTCCTCTTTTTGTTTATTTATTTATGGGTCATTTTCTTTGCTAAGTTATTTCTTCAGGGTTGCTTTTCAAATACAAACTAATAAAAGCCTGAAAAAGACAGAATCACCCTGATAGATGAGGAAAAAAACCCTCTCAGTACATTTTTTATTCCATATGTGAATTCACTCCTGGGTATATTTACAAAAAAAAGATCCCTGCAACATACTGAACTTTGCAAGTAACACAATGCTTTAAAAATGCATTTGAAAAAGCCCTCATCTGGTGGGCAGCAACAAAACACTGTCAGAATGTTGTCAGAAAAGTTCCTGTTACCAGTCAATTCCCATTGATGGCAACAGAAAATTCAGGCAGGGACTGAAGATCCAAAAGCAAATAAAACTAGGTATCTTTGGTAGGTACTTACCTACAATGGCTCTTCATTCTTCTATTTCAATTTTTGGCTCAATGCGTTTTTATAATACCCTTGACCCCACCTGATAATTTCAACGAATGGAGTATTCACTTGTTTCCCTTCCTGTATTTGCACCTGACAGCGGGGGGAAGTGACACATAGACGTGCCAGAACATTCATAGGAGTCGCCCTCTCTCCAGCTGATGATTCTGGAAAGGTAACATGTATGACCATGCAAGCTGACTCCAAAATGCATGGTCATTACATCAAATAAGTCTTTTACATATTTAGATACAGTTCAGTAACAAAACCTGAATATGACAGTCCTAGCCTCTTCTGTTTAAGATTGCAGTTTCTAGCTGTTGCATATTCTGTAGCTGCTCAAAAAGCTGCTCAAAAACTTCAATTTAACTCCATAACAAGGTGAGCGCAGCTCCTGATGTAGCACACTTATTCAACGAAAATAGTCATATAAAAAGTTGTACTGTAGATGGGTAAGTTCCCAGGATTCCCACTGATGTTCCTCTTTGGTTCCCAATTAGGATTTGACAAGTTTGAAACCTTGTCCCGTGTCCAGCACTGTGGGAAGAAACCAGTTCATTTTTAATCTTTTCAGGCACCTAAAGCACGCTTTGCAAACCCAGAACAGATTGAGACCACAAAACCAGTTTGCCAAATGCACTAACGGGTAGGTAACACGGGGGAAGTAAATCATCCAGTGTTTGGCAACGTCGCTGCCTGTTGGCAAATGCAAAGTGTAGTCACTCCAGTGCTTGGACACCCCGTACACCGCTCTCACCGTGCGCCCCTTCTCCGACCAGCTGATGTTACTGCTGGGGTTACAGTTGTACTCAACCCACTGCCTGGTGAAGTCCCCGAGCTGCGGGGGATCCGCTTCCTCGATGTCTACAACTTTAGCCATTTCTGCTCCTTGCACAGCAACATACTGGTCATTCACTTTTCTTACTTCTTTGACCCACGGCTGAGAGTTCTCACAGTCCAAAACGATGATGAGACGCGAGCAGAAGGTGCCGTTCTTTTCTCGCCACCACTCCAGGAGAGTGTCGAGCCGTAAGGCATCTCCTCCTGCCAAAGCCAGGAGACATTTAAGATTAATGTGAAGAAACAGATACCTCCAGAATTCTGACTGCAATTTCCAAGAATCCCCTACTTGAACATCTTCATTTTAGAGATAACACAAATTTTCAAAAGATCCTCCCTGCTAGGAGGTGTTGGAAACCTCCACAGAGACGAGAACTGACTTCATTGGACTTGCAGTGACAGCCAAGGGCATTAACCCACCTTGGACAAAAAGGAGACAAAAATTTTCTCCTAGGGTAAAAGAAATTCAAGTCTACTGAAGAAATCTGGAAATAGCTAAACATGGAAGAAAGCCTGAAATAGATTTTATTCTGTATTAAATTCTTAATAAATCCAAGCGAAGAGAAGATTTTTGAGCCTATATCATACATGCTAACTGCTTTGAAGCAAAATGAGAAAGGCACAACTGGCACAACTGCATTTGACCAGGAACTGAGAATCACTCTATAGCCACATGCGTTTGTCCCTCAAAGTCACAAAAAATAAAATTGACAGTTTTATGACTTATTAAAACAAAAGATTTAATAGGAAAATGTCCACCATATCTATTTCCTATCACCTCAGACAATACTAATAAATAGAGCTGCCATGTTTTAATGTTCTAGCTCAGTTCAGCTATGCCTGAACACAACAGATTGCAATTGAGCAAAGTTACCCACTGTTTGGCTTCCTTCTACCCACTAAGTGTAATGGACACTGCAGCATCTAAGTACCTCTGAAAAGCAGCTTACTTATTTGTATGCGTAAAACATCTTGCACACAAGTCTATAAAACTCCTTTTGCTGCGGAGTGATTATTAACATGAAGAACTGATACAGCCAAATGTTGGGAAAAAAACAACAAAGTCCAACCACACAAAAAAATCCTCTAGTTTGAAAGTGTTATTTTTTGTAAAATTTAAGGAGGCTTTACCAAAAGAGGTAGAAAATTGTGATTTACTATAACTGCAGTGTAATTCCATACCAATTTTATTTGTGTTTAAACAAATTTTATTTTTATTTTTTATTGTGTTTAACAATTTTATCAGTGTTTAAAATCTTGCTGGTAGAAATGTAAGTTGCACAAGAGACTCTCAAGTGGCTGTAAATAAAATAGAATAGCTGCACACTTCAGACTTCAGGTTTCCCTCTACAAGGCGGACACGAAACTGCAGCTAATTAATAATATGGAGTTAAGGCTCTGAGCATGCTACTATGATTAAAGAAAAGCACCACCACCTCTAAAACAAGTACAGACCTGGAAAATTTAGGAAAGGAAATCAAAGGAGTTTGGGATTTCAAAGGAAACCCCTCCAAAACACAAAACTACATTAATGGTTTAACTTGGTAAATTATCCCCACATTCCTGAAGTTCGGTGTCTCTGCACCACTATAGAAGGTGATTTCCCTTCTCTAGGTAAACCTGCTGGGTAAACCAGCTGGAAAAATCTCTTTTTTTCACATTGTAGAGGCTTTTGAATAAAGTTAATTTTAGCATTCCTATGTAGAGGTAGAGGTGCTTTAAAAAGGGCATTAGAGGAAGGAAGGAAGGAAGATACTCCGTTCTTTGCTCCTGCGTTCCCTCCAAGAACGCAACCTCGCAGGTTGCCTGACTGCTCGCACTCGAAGCACGACCACTTGGAAGTTTATTTTGTATCCACTGTGTTACACTCAGCTTCCAACAATGAAGAAACATCATTAGTGAACTAATAAATGCAGTAAGCCTCCTCTGAAAGATGTCATTACAACGCAAAACCACAGAGCTACCGCTGTGCTGTATCCTGGCACAAACTCTCAGTAAGACACTGCTCTGTTCCTTTATATGTGGATGCCACGTTTCATTGTTGCCATCTCTCGTGATCCTCTCCAGAGGCGGGAGGATGGCGCAGATTCCAGGAGCTAATGACCAAGTGTTCCATCTGTCACAAACACCACTGTCCAGCTTGCAGGGTACAATTATATAACCCCCTACCCTTCCACTTTGCAGCTTGTTGTTCTAGTTGCATTCGAGAGCAGCACTATTATTGTTACACTCCATGATTTATATAACTTGCAACAGAAAAATAAGAATAAAAGAAGATTCATGGCAAGTACCAACTACTTGTTCTTTTATGTGACTGTATATGTGACTATATGTGACTTAACAGTGAGGGTGACAGAGCACTGGAACAGGCTGCCCAGAGAGGTTGTGGAGTCTCCTTCTCTGGAGATCTTCAAAACCCGCTTGGACGCAGTCCTGTGCCACGTGCTCTAGGTGACCCTGTGTGTGCAGGGGGGTTGGACTAGATGACCTCTAGAGGTCCCTTCCAACCTTAAACACTCTATGATTCTATTATCTGCAAGTAGAGGTGAAGAGGAGCTTGGATGGAGAACGGAAAGGCAACTTGAGGAGAAAGTTGCGAACCACTGCATTTGCACATTCTGTTATCATAATAGTTATAGTTTCTTTTTTTTTCCTTTGTAATTCATTGTTACCTTTGTCCTCATGCTGAAGACAGTAATTTGTGGAATATCGACTTGAACAGGGACACAGAGGCTCCATCAGGCTCCAAGCTCGGCAGATGTGAGTCCCGTCTGGTCTGCCTGATGACATTGGTGCAGCAGCGTTTGCCTACGTATGTCCTGATGCAACATTTGCCTACATACATCCTGGCAAACTCGGCACGTCTCTGCCGCCGGCTTTGCCGCAGCCTGTCCCTGCAGCACACGGCACAGGGAAGCGGCTGCACCCGCCACCGGGACCATCCCGCTCTCCGCGCGAGGCTCGGCCGCGCCGCGTTGCTCTGCTCGCACCAGGCTCGGGTGCTTTTAGTAATATAGATGAAGTCTTTGAGCAATGTGCACTGTCCCTCAGCCGATCTTACAGCTGAGGCACGAAATTGCCCTCAAACAGGCATAAAGCCTCCAGATCAGAACTGCCCTGCACAGCAACAGCGTGGCAGGAGCAGCAAAGCTCAGACCTGTCTGCACTGCTCAAGGGCAGATGCCCACAGAGATGCAACCAACACAGCCAAAACTCAGAGTGCAAACCATGAAGTGCAACTCTGTCCCAGGAAGAGAGAAAAAGTTGCACATTATCCATGCACTTATTGGAGGATAAGTGCAACCCCAGTTCCATATCAGCAAGAGAATAAGGCTAAACCTACCAAGGATTCAAAAGGCTAAGCAGACTTACCAAAGAAAAAAAATTATACATTTGAGGTAGAGCTGCATGTTATAGAGATCAAAAGTGGACCGGGAATGGGAGAAACAGTGAAGTCTACACCAAGCACATAGCTGAGCATTAACCCAACCCTCTCCCACCAGGGTTTGCAGCCTAGAGGCTGTGCTGCATCCACGGCGCCACCTCAACGCGGGGCTGTCAACAAACCGTAGTGCTTTTCTTGACACACAGTTTGTGGCGTGTTTGAAGACCTGCTTTCCTAGTGTGGACTGTGTTCCCGCTTCCTGTTTATTTTGTTACTTTCATCTTTTAGTAAATGCACAGTGCATCTTAAAGACACCATGCAGCCCTTCATAGACAACCTAACACGATGTTACACAAACTGCTCAAAGGTAAATGTGCTGTTTCTACCATGCAATGTAAGGAATAGGAAGATACTATGCTTAGTACTTACAATGAGGAAATTTCTCCCAAAATACAGGAGAAAGGTGTCTTTAGAAGAGGAAGATGTCATTTCCACTCAACTTTTCCAAATAAAAAGAGGGACACTTAAAAGTTAACTTGTTGAATTGTAAGGAGAATAAGACACCAGATACAAACCTGATGTGCACCATCTTGAAAAGTAAGTGCACATCTGGGATCATCAATATTTGCAACATTTTGAGAACAACTATGAGAATAGTTACCTGCAAAATGACTTTTTGTCAGAGTGGTTAAGGCTAAAAATGACATAGTTCACAAAGTAACAAACCTGACTGCCATGCTGAGCAAAGGAAGGAGATGCTGCTTCACATCAAGTTAACTGCACACAAAAGGCATCTCCAGCATTTCCTCATTCCTTCCACTAGTTTCAGTGCCATTCAGCCTGTAACCCTGTCAAATCTGGCGACTCCTTCCAGTCCCTCAACCTCTGAGCAGCCAGGCTCTGTATATTATTCATATCTCTTTTCCTCCCTGACAGCAGCCTGAACAAATCTGTTCTCCAGGGTTGTGTTTCTGTGCCATTCTGGACTGTCAGGTAATAAATGTGACCAAAACTTTGAAGTTTCACAATATGGTGTGATTTTTATAAGAAAGAATTCAGAGATTTGGGAAGTCTATCAGCACCAAAACCATCAACAAAAAACGTCCAACAAGAATTACCTGCTAGTGCCCATTCGCCAGTCCCATGCGAGTGACCACTGTAATATAAAATATAGGTATCATGTCTGGGTCCATCTGCAGTCCGAAGTTCCAGGAAAGATTTGATTTTGGAGTGAAGCGTATCAAAGGTCAGGCCACTTGTAGAGTAGTCACAACCATATGTCTCAATCATGTGATAGGCAAAAAATCTTTGGATGGCATTAAGCATGCCTGTAGACCTCAGGTTTAACTCTTGCACGTGCTCGGGTGGAAGAAGAGTTGGTTGGCCATCAGGGCTAAAGAGAAGAAAATGAGTTATTAATATGATTTATTATTATTTCTTGCTTAGTGGACTGATACACATGACTGAAATTTCTGTGGCACGTTTTCTTCCCTATGAAGTAGCACTGAGCTAAATTAAAATTTGCTTGAAATATATAGCTTATAAACAATCCAAAACTCTGTATTTGGACAAGGGCCAAGCCTCCCCCTTCCTTCTGCTGCACTTTAGCAATCCAAAGCGTGGCCTTTGCTCAAGCCTGTGCTACCTACGCAGCCTGTGGTTTGTGCCCATGCCCACGGGCTGGACTTGCTCTTGCCCAGGAGGACAGGCCGTGGTGCCACCGCGCGGAGCTCCCGCCGTGCACGAGGTCCCACCAGGAGCTCTGCCCCGCGCGGCGCTCGCTCCTCCATGTGGCAGCGGCACAGGCAGAACAAGAACCAGGCTGCATCGACCACCACACAGGGAGAGACCAGGAGAAAACCGAGCAAACGTTTGACTCTGATGCTTTAAACTCGCATCTCTCATATTCAGAGTACTCCTTACTGTGCATGGTGGTAACTTATGTAAATACAGTAACTCCTACTTGCGTGTGCTGTTCACATGCTGGTCTTTCAGCACAACAAAGAGGTTTCAGATAATGGTGCTCACTGCTTGAAAAATAAAGCAGTAAGAAAATTATGAACTGGATCTGAAAAAGACTACATACATACTTGTATACACACACCCACGTATATATAAAGCCCCTAGATTCCCAAATGCACGGGAATGCATAGCTGTCTTATTGTTTTGAAGTCTTTGTAACTCTTCATTAATCATGATGTCCTTCTGAGCATGTGTTCTCAGAAGGAGAGGAGCTTTCATCACTTTTCAATCAACGCAGTAACGCTAACGCTAAGGGACCTAACAGAGAGCTCTTATCAAATCCACTTCAATTTCTGCTTGACTAAATAGAGGCACAGAATCTGTGGATGAAAATATGGACATCATCTTATCCTACTAACAAAATGCAATTTCTTATGTATCTTCTTCATGTGCTTGGTCTGCAAGTCTATATGACAGGTTTAATCTTGTTTCTTTTTTGGTCTAGTTAGTTAAATTTTGCATCTCCTCAGCTTTTTAGTGCCTTTACAAAGGTTTATGTTCCACTAGTACAATTATTTTATTTCTGTTGTAAGGTACATTTTTAAAAATCCCTAACAATAATTGACTTACCAGATTTTTTTAATTAAAGAGAATGGGCAGCCAAAGGCTGCAGTTTCAGACTGCTCAGAAAGTTGTTTTTGCAGTATTTTACACCAGTTGCATACAACAACAAAATCAGCATCTTCAGTTTCTTTAGCCTCTTAAACTTTCCCCTTTTTCCACTGAAACCATTACATATACAGTAAGCTGATATTTTTTCATAAATTGGGTAGTTTTATTTTTAAGCCTCTTATTTCAACATATCACTCAATTTCTGTAGTAACTCTGATAGATGATTTTGATAGTCCTTGCCTATCTTTTATCAAAAAAGGTTCATTTGTACCACTCAAATTATAAGGTTTAAATTTTTCAAGTTTAAAGCTTTTAAGAGAACCACATAAATGAGCAAGTAATCATAGTACAGAATCTTTCCAAATACTTTTCATATAGCAATATTTATATTGGAAAAAAATCTGCTGTGCACATAACCACGTACAATTACAGTACAAATCACAGTACAAAATACTGGTATCTAATCTAAATGGCAAATATAATTTTAATGTATTTCAAATGTAGACGCCATCCCAGTTAATACAGATCAAAGTTGTTTTGCACAGAGATTGATCAGTTAGTTTATTAAATCTCCTCATATGAAATATCTGCACTGAATCAAGTGCACTAATCCTTGTTGCATAAGATAAGGATTGTGGAATTTGCTTATGCGTGTTTGATGTCTGAAGTATTTATTAGCTTTTTAAAATCAAATCAAATGCATATAAAATGGGAGAGTTGCAGTTACGCAAGAAGGCGAGGGAAAGGAAAAAGCTTATTCAAAATTAGCCAATTAAATGGTGTTTAATTATGGGAAAAGGCAAGCAACAGCACTGCACTGCCTCTACTGGGCATCACTCATCCCTCCTGCTGGGAAGGGGAAATACATATAACGATGACCATACCTGCAAAAGTTGGTGGGGATCACAACCGCATACCCAACGCACGTGCCGCCCAAACAGCTTCCCAGCTCATGGAAAAGCCCGTGAGCCATGGACTCCAGGGGCAAGACGATGAGAAACACACTCATGAAGATCCCGTTCGCTGGCTAAAAGGAAAACACACAGCTCTATGTATCACTCGAAAAATTCCTTCCTATACGTTGGTTTGGTTTTATTAACAATTCCTTATGTTTTAGCAAATATAACTGGGTCCCAAAACATGAAATACAAGCTGTTATGCCTAACGTACGCCTATTCTTCCACACATATTACACTGTGAGGTACTCTGAAGAGAAATAAAAGGCCAGTTTGGGAGTGGGGGCAACAGGCAGCTGCTGAAAGCAGGAATCACTCTTCTGAAGGGAATGAATTTGAGAAAACTCTAACCAGTACAAGATTTAGATTTAAAGCCCCAACCGTAGCTTTGCACTATCATTTAAGTAGAGCAATCAAATTCTATGGAATTACTTATGTGCATAAAGTAAGTGCATCTATAAATATCTGCAGGATCAGGCATTAATAAGATGAGCACAACTGTGAAAAAAAGAAGTTGCACATATTAGTGATTTTCTCTTAATCTGCACATTGCCTTACAGCTCAACGGTCCCAGCAATCTGGTATGGACTAATTCAGCTTAATACAGACACAATTTATTTAGAATTTGGAAAGTAAATCATACTGAAAAGGTCCACCAAAACCAACTCAGTTCTGCTGGGCACATGGCAGCCTAACTCAACTATGCTTAGTTTTTAAACAGAGAAACAGTATTACCTGTTGTGAAAGAACAGCTTTACTCATTTTACATGCTTCCTGCCATAAGAAAGAATATGTGCCTGCCAACTGTCCCAGTCTTGAAAAGTGTCCCGTTATATTTTCAATGTAAGGACTTCACCTACATGTCCTTGAAACGGTCTGTTAATTGAGCATTTTTCACAAATTCCAACATCTGAAACCACCAAAAAATTATACCCAGATCCCACTATGCTTTTTAAAATGAAACAAAAGCAGCATTTATTTAGCTTCTAGCTCCAAAGAGTAAAGCGGAAAAAAATGACACTGAGAGGATGTCAAATCCTACCAGGTAATGACCAAGGCGAGCTTGTCTGCACACCTCATCAGAAAAGCTCCAAACCATTTGGAGACTGCTCTGCTAACACTCAGGCTTACAGAACCAGTGCAGTTGCAACAGGTCCCTGGCAGGTGACACCACTGGCATGAAATGCTGTGAGTAGATCTCACATGGAACAGGCCTGTTCAACGTTGTGGTGCTAATAATCTGAATAGGGGATAAGGCCTCCCTGTTAACGGTACACACACACTATAGGAGATTGACAGTCACTTTTACATACACAATTTTATTAGCTATCCCAGCAGGTAACTTGCATCGTTCCAGGTTTATTCCCTTCCTCCTTCCAGTCTGTCTGTATTCAAGGGGTGAAGGGCTAAGAGTGAGTTAGCAGATACAACATGTTTAGGCCAACTGCACAGAAGCACTCATGCACTGGTTCCTGTGTTTTGTGTCCAAGAAGGATTTCCAGATTTTCTTTTCTTAAACACACAGTTACAGAAATGACCACAAGACTGGAAAGCTCAAAGCAATATAGTAATTGTGGTGCAGCTGCAAACTGTTTTGTTGCCAATACAAGAAAAATCCTGTCTAAGAAAATCCTTTTTTCACAATATACCAGTAGAGAACACCCACCCCAAATACTTGCCCAGTAATCATAATATCATAAAGACTATTATCATATCAGAACAAGAAAAAACAAACCAAACAAAAAACTTTGAAAACTTTAGTATTTCCAATCTAAATATGTATACGTATTTAGATTTAACATTTATGCAGGAAAATAATGTAGGCACATTTCATTCCAATTTGCTGTTCTTTGAATTTTTTTTTTTTTAAGTTGAGCATCATAATAACCACAAGGTAATTTTCTTATCACAAGCCTTAAAATGGCACAGCAGAGTTACTGTTTGCAGAGATGTCTGAATAACATTTATCCACCTAACATTTGTCTGGGCGTACCCACTTAAATATTTGGATACATTGGAAACTTAGTCCCTTTTCCAAACCACATCAAGGATTAGGGAACACTTTGAAAGTGTATCTTAAACTAGTAAATCATTAAAGCAACTGTTATGTTTTCCAAAAAAGCTTACTGGCATTAACTGCATCATCTGTTTTAGCACGGGTAACTTACAAGGTGCACACACACATAGAATTTTCTTGGTTGCACTTCAGGTTTTCAGGAAAGAGGATAGTCTGGCCTTTTATGTACTTAACAAACCACCAACCAGCAGAACTGGCAGTGATTTAGAAAGCAAGGAAAGAGATGCTGGCTTTGCTGTGAGCATTTTTTGAATAGTTTAATATTTCACTAAGAAATACAAAAATTGATTAATGATGTTTGAAACAACTCTAAATGAGATAATATCAAGTATTTTAATTCAGTGCTGCAAGTACAATGACTGATGGCATTTTATTACGTCTGAACTATAAGAATTTGAACATGCAAAATGGTAGCTAATTAAGTTAGTAACTACTGTGAATCCTAACAGAGATCTCTCTTTTAAGGCAACAGCAGGTGGAGACCGTCAGTGCTTTCCTAAAGCCAGCAGATTTGAGGACTGGTTTGAACAGAGCAGATAGCAACGCACGCAGAGGCGAGCTACAAAGAGCTCCTGCCCTTTCACCATTCACCCCGTTTTCACTGGTACCCAGCGCCCTGGCACCTCAGCCTGCAGCGCGTCCCTGCACTCACTGCCCGCTGCTCAGAAAGGCCCCACGGAGACAGGGCCCTCTCTGCAACACTCCTGCAAACGGGAGCAGCCACCTCCTCTCTCCAGCTTGGTTTTGTTGTTGCTGTTTTTCCTTTGTCTATCCTCTTCTAAATGAGTATTATGGTAACACCTACTGTGTCCTCATTTCAATGTGAAAAAGGTAAAACCCCTTGTCTTGGCTACTAAAATGAGAGACGATAAAAGACGGGCAGATCTGTTAGCAGTACTGCCTTTCTACACTCTTTATTGCTACATGGAACTATGCTCCAACAGAAAAAAAATAGAAGTATTTTCAAGGCTGATTATTCATGGATGGGACAACTCCAATCCTAAGGAGAAAACCACTGCTGAAAGTGGAATGATTGTGGAAAAATATTTAATAATAGAGCATAAGCTCTACATGACTGATGGAAATAATGAGGAAGAAGAAAAGAGTTAGAAAGCATTCATTTAAATTGAAAGGCAGTTACAAAGACCTATAGAAAAGCCCTTCTAATTAGAACAGAAATAAATTTATACACAGATGTGAATTAAGATTACATTGAGCCAATGAACACAACTTGTAAGACTTATGAAAATGCATTATGAAAATGCAAATCCTATTTTTATAGGATATCCATATATACACATTCTATACAAGATACACAACACACACAGTA